GGTCCAGCTTTCCACCATCGACCAAGACAAAAGTTTTGAACAGGTAAATTATTTTAATTTTTAACTTTATTAAAATTTTAAATTTTTTATTAAATTTTCACATTTGTACTTAATTATATAAATATAATTTGTAAATAAAATTTGATCTTTTGTAGGTTGTTCCGAAGAAAAAGGGACGTATTGTTGGGATCGGGATCGGGACTGTGAACGATGTCCCAAGGGAGAGGGCCGAACATGCAGCAAGAATAGAAGAAGATTCCTCTCTCCGACGGGAACTAGCAGCTGCCAAAAGAGTCATAGACGAGCATAAAGACAAGTTCAAGGCTATGGCGAATATGTTCGATCTTATGATGGAGAACTCAAACCCAAACCCGACGGTTTCTAATGCATGGCAAGCTCTAATTCCGAGCTTTAACCCTGACCCCACTCCGGAAAAGCAAGTGGATTTAGAGCGACGTGCAGAGCAGCACACTTCCGAGTTCTTCTAGGACATGAACCTCAACAAAACACCTTAGTTTTTTCGGTTTTTTTTGTATGAATACTCTATATATTATTTTAATCAAATATAATTATATATATATATATATATATATATATATATATATTATTTTTTAAAAAAAATTATTAATTTTTTTAAATAAATCGAATTATAAACCAAAAAGTTTAAAAAAAATCAAATTAAAAAATCGTATTATATAAAAATTAAATCAACATTGGTCGTAAATTAGTCTTTAATTTACGACCAATGGACAACAAATGTCGATGTTACTTAGTTGTAAAATTACGATTAATTAACTACCAATGTTTACGTTTGCTTTACGACTACGTTACGACTAAGTTTGTCACATCAACGTTACGACCAATATGTTAGTCGTAATATTACGACTACAGCTCGTAGTCGTAATATTACGACTACGTTACGACTAATTGTGCATTACGACTAGCAAATAACGACCAATGAGTTTCCGATGTTAATTGGTCGTAAAAGACATATTACGACCAATTAACAACCAATAGTGTAGTCGTTGAACACATGTTTTCTTGTAGTGTCTGGACATGTTCAGCATGCCACCTCATCGCTCCGGCAGTCCTCTCAGTTTGATTGAATCTTTTCAGCCTATCTGTAATTGGTAAGTAGCACATCCTTTGGTACGGTACCCTATTCCTCCCACGCCCTTGCGGTTTGAATCGTGGCTTCTTGCAGAATCGAAACACTCTTCTAGCTTCTCATCATCTCTCCAATAGCTCATGCAGTTGTCGATGCAAACATCTATCACCTCCGATGGCAACCCAAGACTATAAACTAATTTCTGAATCTCATAATAAGATTCAGCTAACACGTTGTCTTCTGACAAATACTCTTTAAACAACTCGGCCCATGCATCCATGCAGTTCTCAGGTAAATTATGATACGTTTTAATATTCATCATCCTAGCTGCTAGAGACAATTTAGAATAGCCTTCTATACAACCAGTGTAGATTGGTTGATTTTGCAGCATCTAGCATTTCATAAAACCATTTTGCAGTGTAGGTTCTTCAACATTTCCAGTTTCATCAGCTATTGTTGTTTCTAAAAATGCATCCGTAATCATTTCGTGAATCCTATCATGATCTACCATCTGTTCAGCAGCCTGAATATATTCGTTATGCAAATGATTTGGTTTCTCATTATTACAGACATTCTGGAAAATTACTACTACTAGCTTCATTTTCTCCATAACCTTCTCCATGTTGAAACCAAATATAGTACCGTGGTGTAAAACCTCTGTGTACTAAAGGTTTCCACACAGTTTCAGTACGGGAAAATTTTGAATTCTTGCATTTCTGACAAGGATAGAACATCTTACCACTCTACCGTTGGAATCTTTCTGCGTATGCATCCAACTCCGCAATTTGAAAATATTTCTTCCATCAGACAGTTTTTTGAGTTTTTTTTTGTGTATTGGTATGGAATGAGAATGCTCATATATATTTAGAAAATTCCTCGACATTGGTAGGTGAAATTTTACTAGGTAAACAACATATTTACATGGAAATATTTACTATGATATTACATGTCCCTAACATCTAAGTTACAACGGATTTACAACGAATTAAGTTAGGTGAACCACATATAAAGTCGTGTTTACCTACCAAGATCCGTCGTAATGCACTTGTAAATTTACGACGAATTTACGACAAAGTAAAAAAAAAATTAGATAAAAAAAATTGGATTTCTTCCAAAAAAAATAAAAGGAGTTCACGGCCATCGGAACGGTCTTATCAACTCCTCATATCTATTTATCGACTTCTGAAAAAAAAGCTATGAGGAGTTGATTAGAACTGTTCTGGTGACTGTCCACGCCTTTCAATTTCTTGAATTATCGATACAGAAGTCCCTAGACTTTTTTCTTTGATTTTTCTTTTGTATTTTTTTGTGTGTTGTTAGGATTGATTATGGTCCTATTACGACGAATTAAAAATGAATACATCCCTCGTAAAAAAATATGTTTTCTTGAAGTGTTTGAGAATATAATAAAATATCTTTTGTTGGGTAAAATATATTTGAAATGAAGAATATATATATATGCATCATAGTATATAGAATATATATATATATATATATGTGGATTTATCATTAATAAATGAATATATATTTTTTTTTAAAGCTAATGTAAAATATTTTTTTGAATAACACAACATCAACTATTTTTATACATGATTATCAAATGAATCAAATGTGTTTTTAATTTATGGTTACTTATATATTAACAAATATAATTGTTTATTAATGTTCATAATTTTTTATAATATAATATAAATTATTTTTAGATCATGATAATTTTCAAATCAGTTAAATTCATTTTTAATTAACGATTATATATTAGTTTGCTTTTAATGTATGGTTAATTAATAGAAATTACGTATAGTTCAATTATAACCATCCAATCAATAAAACTTGTTTTTAATTAAGGTTAGTTATATTAATTTTTTAATATATAATTAATTATATATAATAAATCTAATTATTTATTAATACTAATAATCTATACTATTATATAAAAAGTAATTTTGCTTAGTTGTCATGCTCTCCATAAGTTTAGGTAATTTTGTTTATTTATCATATTTTAAAATTTATATATAATTATTTATAAATAAAACGAATATATATATGAATTTATCATATTTTTAGAAAATAAGATAATTCTTGTGAATTATTTTGTTAACTTGAACTATATTATTATATATAAAATTTAAATTAAGATATAAAATTATTACATTTATTATATAACTAAACGAATTTATATTAATAATTTATATTTTTCTAAAATTATATAATTCTTATGTATTATATTGTTATGTTGAAAATATATTTTCTTATTATAAATTGAAAATTAAGATATAAAATTATATTATTAATAATAAAATATAAATCATCAAAAAATTATTTGAAAAGTGAATTTGTTGATTTGTCAACTTCTCCATGATCCTAGGTATTTTTGATCTTTTATCATAATCTCTTTAATTTTTTTTATTATTTATTATATAACTAAAACTAATTTATATTAATAATATGATATTTAAGAAAATAAGTTAATTCTTATGTATTCTGTTGTTGTCTTGAAAATATATTTTTTTTATTATAAATTTGAAAATTAAAATGCAAAATGTAAAAAATCTATACTATTATTTAAGAAGTGAATTAGATGTTTGTTGATTTGTCATATTTTCCATGATTTTAAGTAACTTTGATAGTTTATCATAATTTCTATAATTTTATATATAATTTATTATATATTTAAATACAAATTTATATTAATAGTATCAGATTTTACGAAAAAAGATACTTCTTATGTATTATGTTGTTGTCTTGAAAATACATTTTTCTATTAGAAATATAAAATTAATATATAAAAAGTTGTAGTTATTCTATAATTAAAATAAATTTACAATAATAATGTTATACTTTAAAAAAGGTAATTCTTATATATTATGTTGTCATCTTGAAAATATATTTTTATATTATATAATTTAAAAGTAAAATAGAAAAATTATATATTATTAATTAAATATAAATCACCACTCAAGCAAAATTGTTTAAGAAGTTAATTTGTTAAGTTCTCCATGATTTTCAGTAATTTTCCTAATATGTCATCATTTCTATAATCTTATATAATTATTATATAATTAAAACGAATTTATCCTATTATATTTTTAGAAAATAAAGAACTTATGCATTATATTGTTATCTTGAAAATATGTTTTTATATTATAAATTTTAAATTTAAGATATAAAAATTATAATTAAATATAAATTAAGTAAAAGTATTTGTATAAATATTATAATTACATATAATTCAAGCAAAATAATTGTAGAAATATATTCTTTTAAATATTTCTGATGTTTGTGTTTTGTCATTTATTTGATGTTTGATTTGTATTTTTTGAAACCATAAATAATAAATTAATGAAACATCAACTAATAAATATTCAAAAGAGAATTATGCCCGCAAGTACAGACAAAACACCTAGTTAATCATTAACCAAAATTACAAAATATGACAAATAACTAAAACTATTATGGAAAAAATGACAACTAAACAAATTTACTTCTTAAATAATAGTATAGATAGAAAAGTGAATTAGATGATTGTTGATTTGTCATATTTTCTATGCAATAAAAGGTATATTTAGGATAAAATAATATTTACATCGTTAAAAGGTATATTTTATTAAACTTCTAGGATAAAATAATATTTACATCGTTAGAAGGTATATTCTATTAAACTTCTAAAATAAAAGTTTAGTTTCTCAGAAAACATGGTTGGAGATTTTTTTCTTTTTTCCAATTCTCCCAAATAAAAAACCGTGAAATCTTTTGTAGCGTCTAATTAGGTCACGTTCACGCTTGTAGCACACGTGTTACCAAATAGTCTCATAGTTAGTCATAGAAAAGGCCGCAGGAAGAAACACCCATATAACATCTCCCATAATAATTTACAGACTTGAGAGTTTACAGAATGATGCAAAGCCTTGGACGATACTCAAAACGATTTCTCTTGCTCAGGAAAACACAGCCGATTCAATTCTCACGTACCCTAACGTCGGCGAAGCTGAATGACACTTTATATAGTCGGGTCATGGCGGTGGAAAACAGGTTCCTATGGAGGGTTAAGGTTACACCTGTGCTTAACGAATGGCTGAACCAGGGCAATTATATAAACCCTACGGATCTAAGAACCGTCATCATAGCTCTCTGCGAGTCTCAGCGATTTGATCACGCTCTCCAGGTCTCACTCACTTTCTCTCTTCTAGCTTTCTAATTCTTAATTTATAATATATTCTGTTGATTTTAGAAGTGATTTAAATCCCAATGCACCACTAAAAAGTTCATATTAGTTTAGTACAGTTGATATTTGTAAATTATTCATCCACAAAATCAAGATACAAACCACTTGTTTTTCCCTCAATTATGTAATCTTGTGTTTTTATTTTATTGGAGTTTGATTCTCGTTTCTTCACAACGTATTATTGGTGATGTATTTAGGTTTCAGAGTGGATAACAAAACAAGGGGTGTTCGAGATAACCACTGAAGATGTTGCATCTCGGCTTTATCTAGTTGAGATCAATTCAGGGTTAACCGAAGCAGAGAAGCTCTTCAAAAGCCTTCCTGAGAACATGAAAGACGACTCAGTCTACACCACTCTCTTAAGCTTCTACACAAAATCCAAGAAAACACGGCACGAAGCGGAAGCTACTTACCAGAAGATGAGGGAGCTAAATTTTCTCTCGAAACCTTACCCCTACTACAAGATGATTTATCTCTACGGCCTTCTTGGAGAAACAAATATGGTCGACGAGATTCTTAGGCAGATGAAAGAGAACGGAGTCGACCATGAAAAGATTCTCACGGACAATAATGTTTTAAAGGCTTACGCGAGTGTCCCTGACGTGGAGGCAATGGAGAAGTTTCTGAAAGGAATAGAGGATGAAACGCCGCCGTTTGTATTAGTTTGGCAAACGGGAATAAGCATGGCAAAGGCTTACTTGAAATGCGGTTCAAGTAGAAAAGCGATAGAGATGTTGCGTAGAACAGAACGAGTAGTTGATGCAGAGTCGAGAGACGCAGCGAACAAGGTATTAATGGAGATGTATGGGCAGGCTGGAGCTAAACAAGATGAGTCTCGCCTCTATAGGCGTATCAATCAGAAGGCTAAGCAGGGACAGAGAATGAGAGCATGTCGAAGTAAAGGAAGTGGTGGACGAAGCTCTTTCCACCCGGGATATTACTATGGTGGATGTGGCGGTGGCTGTGGTGGTTGGGGTAGTAGCCGGGCTGATGATAACGGTGGTATGGATGGTAGCCGCGCTGATGATAACGGTGGTGTGGATGGTAGCCACGCTGGTGATGTCGACGGTGGTGGTGTCGGTGTTGATAGTGACGGTGGGATTGGTAGTGGCAGTGGCGGTGGATGTGGTGGATGTGGTGGTGGATGTGGTGGATGTGGTGGCTGGGATTGAGAGTAGAAAACCAAGTAGAGAGTTTGTCAACTTTTCGTCAAAATCATGGTTATTAGTTATATATGGCCTTACCATATTAATATTCATCCCCAAGTATATTTTTAAAACAACCTATAAGCATCATTTGGATCCATCCCCAAGGCTTCTTTTCTTATATACTTGTATGACAGATACTCCCAATAGAGAGCTAGGTCCGAAGAAAATCGTCTACAACTTGATCATGCACTACAAAAGTTACGAGATTAACAAGGGCAAAATTCGTAGTAATTTCGTTGTAAACTAGGTTTTACAACGAATTAGAGAATAAATAACTTTCGCCGTTAATTGTCCGTCGTAATGCATGTTTCCTCGCCAATTCATCGTAAACTAGCAAAGAACAAAACTCGTCGTAAAAAAGACGTAAAGCATTTGTCGTAAAACCACGTAACCTTTCCACGTAAGGTTGACGCTATATTTTCTCGAAAATACCTTGAAAGCTATTCCTCGTAAATTACACATACAATGTTCCACGTAAAATACTCGTTAATCTTTCCTCGTAATGTGGACGTAAAACTATTCCTCGTTACTTCATCGTAATATTAACACGTAAAGTAATCGTAATTTAGCTACGAAAGTACTTTGATTTTCATTTTCCAGAACTAAAAAAAATTAAAATATTAATTAAATATAATTTAAAATAAAAGTCAATAAAAAATATTTTTCTACATAAATAGGTTTTGAATTTATAATATAACCAACGAAAAAAAAAAAAAACTAAGAGTCATTCATCGCCCGGTAGAATTTCTGACTCCTCCTCTCTACATCCGCCTCATGTGTGTCGGATGACTCGCCTGGAACGGGATTTTTTCGTCGCATGTTCCTCAACAAGGATTCCCATTCCGGATTTGTGGCTGCTATAACTTCCAAGAAACCCTCGAGTCCATCCACACGAGTTGTAAACGCTGGGTCGAGTCCAACTCGTTATGCAGCTGAGTGACTTCATCATCCCGACTATGACCATAAGACGATGTCGCTCTCAGAACATCGTTGACGGAACCAATTCCTAATGTACGTCCTTTTTTCTTAGGGACAACCTTAAAAACAAAATATATATATATATATTGTTAGTTAAAAGTTAAAAGTTAAAAATTAAATGAATATTAAAAAAAAGTTAAATAATTACCTCTTCGTAAATCTTATCCACTTCAAGTGTGGATATGGTGACGGGTGATCCGTCGGTGGACTGCTGGGCCAGCTGGGTCTGGCGCTCTTCAACCCGACCAACTAAGTCGTTGAAAAGATGCTCGGACCTAGCATCTAGAAATTGGCCTAACTTGTTCTTGTGGGTCCTCTCGCAAAGTTGCAAAAGAAACGGGAGTTCTCCCGTCTCTTTGGCCTAAAAAACATTTAAGAAAGTTAGAATACATATATATATATATATATATATATATATATATAATTAATTAAAATAAATATTTAATTAATTACCATCTTCAGACGGACACCGGCGTGGGGTGTTTGACCCAAAGAGTGAAGCATCAGCCCATTGCCATCCTCATATATAGTCAGACGGGAGCTAGAGCAATATTTGGCGACTCTAATGGCGTCAAGATCCCGCCAATAACGGATGAGGCCACCCCAAACCTCTGTGGTGAGCACAGTAGGTTTGCCACGCTCATATCCCTTCACGATCCAATCACCATTCCAGTTGCAAACCGTGTCCAACAAGCGCTTTTGCGCCTTCGCGTTAAACTCATTCTTCACATTCTCATTGACCCCTAAGGACCAATGATATTTTTGCTGTAAAAGAAAAAAATTAAATTAAGAATTACTTTTAAAAAATTAAAAAATTTAAATCATAAAAAATTAAAGTATATATCATTAATTAATATTAACTTACATCGAACATTTTGAACCACGTCTTTTTGACTTAGAGCGGCGTCGTTTTCCAGTTCGGATGTGAACCGGGAAAGTAACATTTGATCGTCTTGGTACGCTTCGAGAAACACATCCGTCAACCCCAAACCTAAAAAAACAAATTTAAAGTACAAATTATTTATTATTATTAGAAAATATTTTTTTTAAATTAAAAAATGTAACGTACCACAAAGTTCCGTCCGGTCGGTCAGGGTCTATGACTGGTAAACCTTCTCTGCCTGGCAAGCGAAAAGGTTCTCAACAGTGTACTGCGAGTAAGGAGCACTCGGTGGCACCATCAATCGGGATGAATCCCGGCCGGCATCGGAGGAGCCATCGGAGGAGGCACAGGAGGAGGCACATGAGGAGGCACCTCTGGGACATGATCATGAGGAGCCGGTGGTGCAACGAATATAGGAACCGATGGTGCACCAGAAGGAGGCGACTGATAGACTCCCTCAGAAGACTGAGTCTCAGGGACAGTCTCCGCCGGACCCGAAAAACCGGGAGGTGAAGAAGAACCAGGAGCTGAAGAAGACGGGTCTAAATGACTATCAGGCTCACCAAACATCTCTCTGTAATGGGGAGTGAGTTTGTTCTTTCGAACCTGATAAAAAATTATTTTTAAAAATTAAACTCAACAGTAATTAACAAATTCTATAATTAACAAATTTTATAAATTCTAGCTAAATTTCCTACGTTAACCACCTAATCAACACTAATTAACATAAAATCCGTAAACCTATCTATATTCCCTTCACTAACCACCTAATCGACCCTAAACTAATCAAATTAAAGAGGAAATTGAGAGAACATACCATTGCTTCGAACAAGAGAGGAAATGGAGACAAAATGGAAGTGATCTGCTCGCGTGTATATATAAGAAATTGATGGGCCTCGTAATGTCATCGTAAGCTTACGACGAAGTAGCAAGGCCCGTGTTTTCATTTACGTGGAAATAACAAGGCCCGTGACTTTACGACGAATTCTACTTACGTAGACTTTACGATGAATTCTGCTTACGTGAAATTAGCGAGTCCTGTGTATTTTCTCAAAACATGGACTTTACGACAAATTCTGCTTACGTGGAATTAGCGAGTCTCGCGTTTTTTCAATTACGTGGACTTTACGACAAATTCTGCTTACATGAAATTAACGAGTACCGTGTTCTTTAGTTTTAAGTTTTCCTCGTTATATTACGAGGAAATAACGAGGATTATGTTTAAATCCTCAAATCTGAAACCCCTAACCCCATCTTCCTTATCTTCTACCTCATATATTCCATCTTCTACCTCAATTTCTTCTTTCTATTCCAAACCCCGAATTATAAAACCATAATTCCTTAACTTATAATCTCAATCTCTTATTACTAATTCAAATTAAACCCCCCCCATTACTTTACACAAAATCAAATTATATAAATAGATTTTCATGATTAAATCTATTAAATCATATGCATTAAGTCTAAAAACAAATACATCAATCGGATACATCGACATTCTCGTCATACCTAGAAACATCATCATTTTCATTAAACTTGTCTTCAACAGCTTCATTTGTGGCATCGTCGGTAAGATCTTTGTACTCATGATTATGCGGATCAATGAGAAGGATGTCATCAATTTGTTGTTCAGGTTCCTCTACTTCATTTATCTGTTCTTCTTGCAATGGTGGTTCTTCTCCACTGATGATTCGTCCATGAGGTATAACTTTGATTACTGATAACCAATTTATTCCTGATTCTCTCATTCGAAGGTATGGAGGGAAGCTAACTTGGTAAGCTTGTGAAGCTAAGATGAAAGGCACGGATTTTTTGTACCTGCAAAAATAAATACAACGTAGAAATTAATCATTCAGATAATGTATGCCAAAAAAAGAATTTGTGGTACATTCGTCCACCATTGACATCAACTACACTGAATTTCTTAAACCGAACACCTCTGTTGACGACGGGGTCGGACCATTCACATTTGAAAAGGACGTATTCCAATTTCAATAACCCTGGGAATTCCATTTCAATAATCTCCAGCAAGATCCTGTAGAAATCTGTTTCGCCTTTCACACACATTCCATAGTTATTGGCCGCCCACTGTCTACCGTACTCATATGTGTGAAAAGTATAGCCTCGTGTGAAATACATCTGTGACGTGGTGACCTTTGCAAGTGGAGCTTGAGCTACTTCGTAAAACCACTTATCGTAACATGCATCGTCGTCATAATCAACCTGCAAAAATAAAAATATTGTTGAAATACAGATCATGTATCAAAAAAAAAATTTGATTGATCAACCTGCAAAAATTAAGAGTTTGAGTTAATAACTGCTTATTCAACCATTTAATAAAGTGTTGATCTTTTCTTCTGTCTACGTCACTTGTGTATATACATGAGAATGTTTCTTCGACTTGAGAAACAAATAAGCTGTAAAATGACATTTTATATTAATTAATCTTTCCAAATTATATAATTTATACTTATATGTGTTTAGAAGTTATCAGATATGTTACCTTTCATAATAGCGCATTAATGGATCTTCACAGAATATAGGTGTGTGCACTATGAGCGTCTTCTTCACTCGACCACCAAACCTCTTTCGATGTCCCACCCATTTGCCCAATTTGGCTAAAGATGTCTGGAACACGATCATCAGCTGCATATGTTGGCGCAACACCACCATCATCATATCTTTTTGGAACTCTTTTCCGGGTACGTATTTTTGACGCAAAGTAGTAGGATGTGAAGTGAGAAGTTTCTTCTGTCAAACTTCCAGCAATTATAGTACGCAAAGCAGTAATGTGTACTGATACATCCATCTGTAATGTACAGGTCCACGAAGCAATACCTCATATGGGAAGTGGACAGCTAGATGCTCCATGGCGTCAAAAAACGCCGGAGAAAATATCTTCTCCAAGTTGCACAATAAGATGAGAATATTCTCGTGAAGTTGTTCCACGACTTCTTCTTTAAGAGTGTGTGTGTTCAGATCCCTTAAAAATGCTCCAATGCCTTGTATATTCCAAAAAAAATTAAACACATTAGTAGTCATTGCAAACTAAACCATTATAAAACTAATGCGTTATAATATACTACCTGCAAGTGCTTTATGT